CGAGAAATTGTAAAAAAAAAACAATTTTTGGCTCCCTTTTTCACATTTTCTCGCAAACCCATTATTTTTAAATTTATATAGTTTGTTGAAAAAAAAATCTCACCCTTTCAATAAAAACAAATAAACATTTATTTTTGTAAATTTACATTTAAAATTTTAACTCTTATTTTTTCATTTTTAATCCTTTTCTCCCTTATGTTATTTTTATTGAAAAGCTGTGATTTTTTCATAAATATAATAATGAGACAACAATGGATTCTAAAAATTTTGTAAAAAATAAATTTTTTTGCCCTGTTTTTGAAATTTTTTCAAAAAACTCATTGTTGTACCATTTTTATATTTACATAGTTTGTTTGGAAAAGAAAAACTCAGCTTTTCGATAAAATCACCAAAAAAATTTTTTAAAGAGGGGCAATGGGGTCAGAAATGAAAAATAGGTGTTAATTTTGAAAAATATGGGGTTAAAAAATTTTTTTTAAAAAAAAACTTTTGTTGACATTGACAAGTACATGAAAAATCCTTCAAATATAACCCTATTAACAAATTAAAATCCATAAACTTATGTGAAAGCTATATATAGGTAAGAGTATGATAGCGAATTTATGAAGTATTTGAAATGATCACAGTCATATTCTGACCTAGGGTCAGCCGGGGTAAATCCCAACGCTAATTATTTCAGCTTAATTAAAATTTTAAAAAATAAGTTAGACATGAGAATTTTTACCTCAGATCCTCTTCAAGAGATTCTAAGTATTATCCCATTTTTCGTTTGTTAATTAGCAACAGCATAAACAAAGATAACGAGTATTGCAAAAAAGATTGAAAATCAAAGATGACACTCTTTCAGTATTTTGTCTCGTATTTGAAGAAAAAGAAGCTAAAAATTCATTTTATTATTTATAATTGTTTGTTATGAATACTAGAACAGAAACTATTTTTGATTTTTGCCTTCTGTAAAATTTTATTAATAATATAAGACCGTTCGTATATTTACCCCGGAAAATTGGAAAACCGGGGTAAATCCGAACGGTATTTTCAATAATTTTTTCTTATATCAAAAATTGTTTTTATTTGATTACACTATTATTTTAACATTATAAAAGTACATAGAAAAAAGTTTTTCTTTCTATATGTATCCTCGTTAGTAATTAATAAGCAGAAACTTAATCTCTGTTCTCTCGTAGGAGTGTTCCACTTTTTTTGCCAAATGGTTTGTTGAAAAAAGTTTTTCACGATCTTAATAAAATTTGGTATTCTACGGTTTCTGGGGTCGCTGATTACCAATTTGAAGTCAGTTTTTCAAAATTCAAAATGGCGGATCCAATATGGCGGACGAGAATTAAAAAATTCATTGGATTCGCTCGAAAATTGTTACTCGGGGGGTTTCAGGGTCGCTGATTACGAATTTGGAGTAAGCAAATTTGATCATTTTTAAAAATAAGTTTTAGGAAAGTCCGCCATTTTGAATTTAAAAAATTTGACTTTTATTTTTGTATTTACATTCAATCACTCCAAAATACTTTCTGTAGCAAGTTTTGCAAAAATCCGTTATGATTTGATAAAGTTATTGAAGGTTTTAATTGTGTAATGCATTTTAATTTTTAACCTGTTTGATTTTTGTATTTATATATGATGCATTATTACATAATAGGTTTATTATCGTATTTTTTTTGAGTTTTTATATAAGTTTAACAATTGCAATACTTTAAATTTATTTTCCCTAAGATTTTTCTGAAATACAGTGGCGTTCGTATTTACCCCGGTATTTTAGGAAAGTTGCAAAGTATCGAGGTAAATACGAACGCTAAGTTTCCTGCGATTGTAATTTATCAAAAAATTTTGCTACCCCATAAAATTGTTCTATGGAAGTAAAGTAACAACTTCATGCACCAGAATACCGGAAGTATTGTCTTTTAAAAGAAAAAACTTATGTTATTGTTGAAACTTACTAAAAGCGTTCGGATTTACCCCGGCTGACCCTATATATAGTTTTAACATAAGTTTGTAGATTTTAATTTGTTTATAGGGTTATTTGAAGGGTATTCCATGTACTTGTCAATGCCAACAAAAATATTTTCAAAACTAATTTTTTAATCCCTTTTTTTCAAAATGAACACTTATTTTTCATTTCTGATCTCATTGCTTCTCTTTAAAAATTTTGTACAAATATACAACACCACCTGTGTAAAAGATATAATTGTTATTGTATTTCTAATTTTTTTTAAATGTCGAATTAAATACAAAAATTTCTTTCGATATTTTTTGAATTTAATTTGTAATTTAAAGATTAGAAATTAGTTTGTCAATATTTGTTGTTTACTATTTATTATGTAAAGAAGAGAAAAATTTCATTTTTGATTTCACATTATATGACTGAACATACACTATCACTTATTATTATTCAAATAGAAGGTGTGAGCGACCCAAAATTGTAATTTGTGAAAGGTGTATATATATCTATAGCTAAATAAGCAGCTTATGTGTCAAGTAAATGGAAGAGGGCGGTTCAGATTTTCGTAAACGAAACAAACGGTCATTGAACTCGAACTGTGCGCGCAATGAAACTAGGGTCATTCATTCTCGTTCAGAGTTTTGCCTCCTCTTCTTAGACTTTCTTATATATATATATATTTCAATTCCGTAATTTCTTCGTGCGCCTTACTAGTCGAAATTGTTTGCTTTTCAATCTTCAAATATGGTTTATGTGCATTATTTCGTGATCTATTATAATGTCTGTAGTTATTCTTCATATTTCTTACTTCATTTTTTATTTTATAAAAGTGAAAATAATTTGTTAGGATTTAAATTAATTCATTCATTAGTTAAAATTTTCATTTTATGGAATTTCATGTCATAATTTTTTTTTGAGCCGAATTTTTATTTGTTCAAATTTTAGTATTTTGCAGAATTTTCATCAAAACGATTTTCTATATTACAGAATTTTTATATAACTGAAAATTCACTTCACAGAATTTTTATTTGGTCGAATTTTTATTTGTCAGAATTTTTATTTACTCGAATTTTCATTTAATATAATAGGCATTTTAAAGAATTTTTATTGGGTAGAATTTCATTGCATAAAATTTTCATTTTATTTTTTCAGATGAATTTTTATTTGTTCGAATTATTATTTGATATAATTTCCATATAACCGATTTTTCATACTACAGAATTTTTACTTAAGCGAAAAATCATTTAACAGAATTTCTAATTGATAGAATTTTCATTTGTCCGAAATTGCAAATGACCGAACAAACAATCAATTTCGGCGCGATTTTTAAAATCAATCAATTAAAAATTACCCATAAAAATGTGATTGGTTGATTTTAAAAATCGTTCCGAAATATTTCTGTTCATTGTTTGTTCGGTCATTTGCAATTTCGAACAAATGAAAATTCCATCAATTAGAAATTCTGTTAAATGATTTTTCGGTTAAGTAAAAAATCTGTAGTATAAAAAATCGGTTATATGGAAATTATATCAAATAATAATGCGAACAAATGAAAATTCATTTGCAAGAAAAATCTATGCAATGAAATTCTACTCAATAAAAATTCTTTAAAATGCCTATTGTGTTAAATGAAAATTCGAGCAAATAAAAATTCTGACAAATAAAAATTCTGTGAAGAGAATTTTCGGTTATATAAAAATTCTGTATTATAGAAAATCGTTTTAATGGAAATTCTGCAAAATACTATTTCGAACAAATAAAAATTCGGCTCAAAAATAATTTAAATCATGACAAATGAAATTTCATAAAATGAAAATTCTAACTAATAATTTTTAGAACATAATCATGAGTCCTGTTTTTTCGCAAAAGACTTAATAGATTGAGCTAAAATTTTGTGGATAACTCAAAAAATTAATTTTTTAAAAAATATTTATTATAATAATAAATTTTACTGTATATTTGAATGAATTTCGTATATTTAATAACTATTTTTATATAAACCGCATACTTTTATGGAGTATGGAAAAATATCATATTAAGTCCTGGAAAACCTAAAAAAGTCATGGAATTTTTCTCGTGAGAAATCGTAGCAACCCTGTAAGTTGTAGGAAATTTTGATGGTAAACATTCAAAACTTGCATATATAGAATAAGTTTAACTTGGGGTTCAATAATGTAATTTCATTTTCACTTCCACTTCCACTGATTCTAATTTTCACTTGCAATTTTACTTTCACTTCCACTGATTTTAATAATTTTTTACTTTCAATTTTACATCCACTTCCATTGATCAAAAATTAGTTTAAGTTTAAGTGAAATTAAAAATGAAAATAAGTGGAAATGTATAAGTGAAAATATTTTAAATTTCACTAATTTCTGATCAGTATGGAAGTGAAAGTAAAAATATGAGTGAAAATTAAAATCAGTGAAAGTGGAAGCAAAAATGCAATCACATAATCGACTTTACAAAATATCTATTAATAAACATTAAATAGTTTAAAAAATAAAATAACATTAGTTAAAATGTCATTTGCATATTATGATGATAGAATATATATAGTAAATTATAATAGCCATAGTTACAAGAGCTTATTTGTCAGAGACGATAAACAAATTAGATTCTTAAGAGCAACTTTAGAAAAGTTGCTTCTCGATGCGCTAAAAGGAACTGAAAAATTTACTGTTTCCGAAGTGTGATTCTGCTCTATTTTCTTATGCGTCACACCGTTATAGAGAAGTGCAATTTTCAGTATATACTTATATGTAAATAGTAACTGAACCAGTGAATCTAGAATAATATTCGTGGCAAAATAAATTTAAAAGGAAACCAATGACACTTTCGGGAAAGCATTTTTTTTTTTTTATTATAAAAATAAATATTATAGATCCGACACGATGCTGAAGTTTACAACGTTTCTGATCAATGATTTTTAAAAGAAATATTTTTTTTGAATGAAAAATTGTATGAATTTTCGTCATAAATTATTTGTACGAATTTTGAATTGATAGAATATTTAAGACGCCAAATTTTCATTTGTCCGAAATTAGAAATGGCCGAAAATTGCACCGAAATCTTTCTGTCGATTGCACTGTTAGAAATCGGACTCCAACTTTACACCGAAAAGTTTGAAAATGCAGGTCTTTCAAACCTAAAAGATTGAAATTCAAACTTTTCGCGATTGAATTATTCGGTTTCACACTCAAGAGTTTGAAATATTGTAAGTTCAATCTCAAGAAGTTTGAATTTCAAACCGTCGCAGTTTGAAATGTAATGTTGTCTCTCTCTTTCTCACAGAAGAGAACGAGTATTCATGCATCATCGGCATCATTAACAATTCTGTGCACAACGTGGTCGTGAAATGTAGTGAATGTGTAATTATAGTTTAATTAATTGTGAACAGTTTTGAAAAAATGAACTCAGAATTGAGAAAATTTATTTTCAATGGTAAGCTTTCATGGATTAAAGTGCCTTGTGAAGGAGAAAAGGCGACTTATGAAGAGTTTTTAACAGCAGGTAAATATTAATAATTTTGACTACTTCGTATTTAATTTATTAGTTAATATTATATTTACACTTTCAATAATAGTGCTCTTAAATTATCCAATAATAGAATGCATGTAGAGAATATAAAAGCATAGATTTATTTTTATTTGTAACATAACCTCAAAAGTTCGTATCAAATCATTTTTGTTATTCCGGCCGGCATTTCTCAGTTCAGTAATTGTGATTTTAAAAGAATTTTTGTCCACATTTTTTTAGTACAAAATAAAATAAATGAAAAAGATTTGTCAATTAGTGATGAGGATGGTGTTATCATTGAAGAGGACACCTTCGAATATTTCGAAACAAAGGTCATTTCTGTAATGAAAAGGATAGAATTTAATCAAGATTTGACGATGAAAGAAACCCAAGGTGATTTAAATATACACTTTTTGTTAAATTAGAGACGATTTAAATTTATAAGTTTATACTTTTAAAAATTTTAATTAAGTTTCAGAAAGAAAGTATTATTTTTAAAAAAATATATTTAATGTTTTAGTCATAAATTTTTTTTACGTTTATTTTCTTATATTGAATTATTTAATTTTGTAAAGATTGTCTACTTTGATTTTGTTTTTATTATTGAAATATTTTCTGCTTTTACTTATAGATGTTCAGGTATTGCTTGACAGCAATATTATTAGTAATCTTGCTTTTCTCGACAGTAGCAATGAATTATTGGAAAGTCCTACAAATCAATCTAACCTTTTAAATAAACATTCTTCTGGAAATCAGTTTAGCAAGAGAAATGAACTGGACTCTGAAATTCAAGAATCACAACTTGTTCAATTTGTAAGATGGTTTATTAACATTTTTTAACACTTAAGAGTAGGGACCAATGAAATTTCCGAAATTTGTTTTTCTTGGGGAGTCAATTTTTTATGACGATACTGAATATTTAAAATTACAATATTCTATGAAAAATTGAAAAAAAAATTAATTTAGTTAATAATTTTTTTAATAAAACTTAAAATTGTATAAAAATAAAAAAATTTAAACTTCTCTCATAATTTCTACTATTTTTCATTGTCAATTTTTTATACGCGTTTATTATAATTCTGAACATGCCACATTGATTTTGAAAAATTGCAGTATGTAAAAAATTTCTTAAAAAAATTCTAAAATAGTTGAAAATTAATTTTTTTAATTTTTCATAGTGTAATATGATGTCAGGTTTTGAATAATTGTCAAAAAAAATTGTTACCCCTGAACAAGGTCAATTGTAATTAAATTAAATTTTACTGGTGATTCTTTTAAAATTCAACTTCTCTCGCACTCTTTATTATTTTTCAATGAAAAATTTTTTATACACTTTTTCATGATTCAGGGTTGCCACAAGTTTTATTTTTAATTTTTAATAATATATAATAATTTTAGATCCTAAATAATGCCAGAGAAAAATTTGCGAAATTCAACAGCGTAAATTTAGAAGGGTTGAAATTTCACTGGTCTCTCTCCTTAAAAAGTATTTTCGTAATATTAAATTTAAAAAACTTTTTAGAATCTTAAAGAAGAAATTGAAAGCATTCCAGGGGGAATAGAGATAATTGAAGAGTACAATAAAAGCAAAGATTTTGATACAAGAAGCCGTCGACAATTAGTTAACATTACTGTTCAAATTATGTTGTCAAAATGTGGACAAACAATTCCGAAAAGTATAAAAATGCAATATGCAAATGAACTGGTAAAACTTTTTCCCACATTAAAAGACAAGTATTCTGAATACGGTTATGTACGTACAACTTTTAATAATGACAATTTATTAAATCTAAAAAATAATGTATCATTTAATAAAAATTAAAAACTTTTTTCTCTTACAAAACTAAAATTCTTAACTTAATTTACAATTAAATTGATTGTTTTAGGAAGCATTTTTTAATCCAAAAACAGGATTGGGATTCTTTACTTATCGTATAAAAACCGTTAATAGAAATACAGATGGCAAAAAAGGCAAACCAAAAACTGTTATGCCGGCAATCGAGATTAATGAAAATATTCCATTATTTGTCTCTGAAGAAGAATTGCAGGAAAATTTGAATTTTATTCAAACAGCTGATCCAAAAACGCGAAAAGAAGAAATTGTAAAAGCAATGAAAGTAACTTTCTCTATGCGAAGAAATAATTCGATCGAAATTTTGAATAAATTTCCGCGCTTCTTGGATACACCTGGCTTAGTATGTATACTCTATACTCCTTTCTTATATTATAATTATTAAAATCATTTACTTCAAAAAGTATCCTTATATTAATGTTTATAGAATTTTAACAAGCAATTTATTGTAGATAAACCTTGATTTTTCATTAATGCACCCAAATTTGCAAATGAAGAATTTCCCTTCTACGCAAATATTAGAGATTTTTAGTAAAAGTACAAGTTCACAAGAAGCTAAAAAGAAAAAAACTGATGCAGGTTCGTTTGTAATGCACACTTATTAAAAACATTCATTTAATCTACTATAACCATGTTTTTAAAAAATAAAAAACAAACATTTGATTTAGTCAGATAGTTTAATTTGAAATAAGTAATTTATTTTTGCATGACATTTTAAAAAGTTGATTAGTATTTGATAAATATATATTCTAGAAAAAATCTGATTTTCCATTTTTTTATTTTAAAAAGTATTTTAAACGTTCATAACTATTAATTTTGTGTTGCTTTACTTCAGATATTTCAGATTGGAGTGAGGATATTCAAGCTGTTTTAACTTTACTAAAACAATTACCTCCATCCAGTAGAGGACGAAAAAAAGATATTTCTGGACCCGTTGCTGATAATCCACACAAATTAATTACCTTCTCTAAGGCATGTTTCGGATGTTTATCTCCATATTAAGAATTTATTTGAAGGAAAAACAAATTATTGATTTGTGAGTTATAATTATTGTTATGTTTTTCAGACTGGAACTATTTTGGAAAATGTGAAGTTATATACTTCTCAACCATGTTTAGTAGCAGTCGGCCAACGGAAAAATCTGATTAATAGCTATTTCATTGCATTTGAAGAATATTTTATCCCAGCTGTAGCTAATAATGCTATAGATGCATTAGACGAATTATTCAAAAGTCATTTTGTTTTCAACACGAGTTACGATAACAATTTAAAGAACTTTTATCACTTCGTCGAGTATGTGTTTTATGGATTAAATCAAAATAACGGGTTGACTCCTACAATGCAAGAGATTCGTAGAAAGCTTGCGATTGAGAATTAATTTTTTCTAACAGATTACAAATAATCTTGTTTTTATTTTAAATTTTAAATCCAGTTTTACCTGAAAGTTTAGTTGGTATAAATGCCAGTTCCTTTAAATTGTTTTCTGTGATTTAAACAGTATTGAGAATTTAAGACTGTTTTAATTTTCTCTGATAAAAAAATAATATATTCACTATTGTTGTTAAATTAGTGATTATATTTATAAGATAGAATATATTTATTTTTATATTTGTAATAACTAAAAAATGATGTTTTGGCAATAAGAAGTTAAATCGTCATCCTACCAAATTTGTAGAAAAAACATGTCTTTTTTTTGTTTTATTTGTCAAGCAAAATTAACTACAATTGACGAAACATGTTCTCATCTTCGCCGAAAACATGGTTTGTTTGAAGGTAAACTTTTATCCCTGAAATGTTGCACAGATTCATGTCAACAGACTTTTCAAAATTATAAAAGTTTTCGCGAACACCTTCGAAATCATTTAATTTTCGAAAGTAATCCTTTAAATTTGTCTAATATAGATGACGTATTAAATAAAAAAGAGCAACATTCTAACATCAGAACAAGTATTAAAAGGAAAGCTAGTTCTAGTGAAATTTTAACCGAAAATAGTGGAGACTTAATAGAAGTGGTAAACACTGCAGAAACTCAAAACTTAATTTCTTTTAATTCTGTAAGTGAAAACTTCCAAGAATCATATTTTGAAAAACCTATAACGCATTCTGACGCCTCTTCCGGTTCACAAATTGCTGATAGCTTAAATATAGATGAACAAACTGAAAAGCAAAGCAAAAAAGATAATTTATTTCAAAAATTTATAATGAAGTTAGACTCTTCAAGCTTACCTAAAGCTACAGTTAATAAAATTGTTGAAGAAACTTCATATATGTTGGATAGTGCATTTGATGATATCGGAGATATATATGCAAACGATCCTTCCTCTTTTTCTGAAAATCTTCGCGAATATGTAAATAATCAACGAGAAAGTTATAAAGATGTAAGTTCTACTTACAGGAGAAATAAAATGAGTTCAATAGACGAAAATTTCATTAAACCAACATACTTAACTATCGGTACAAGAAAAGAGGAAATTTATGACGAAAAAACCGGCGTTTACAAATCTATTCCTGTTCCGTGTAAAGTTGCTTACATTCCGATATTGCAAACTGTTAAATTTGTCTTGTCAAATAAGTATGTAATGCAAGAGATTTTGAAAGATACTGATCAAAATACAGAATTTATCACAAGCTTCAGAGATGGTTTGTATTATCAAAGACATTTGTTATTTAAATTAAATAAATCTAATGTTGCTTTACTTTTTTACTTTGACGAATTTGAGACTGTAAACCCTTTAGGCAGCAAAACGGGAGGTCATAAACTTGGTGCAATTTACTGTACATTTCGTAATTTACCAAACGAATTTAATGCTTGTTTAGAAAATATTATGTTAGTTGCTCTCTTTTATTCAGCAGATATTAAAACGTGCGGAATGTCTAATATTTTACGACCATTAATTGATGACCTAAAAATTTTTGAATCTCGAGGTATTTCAATTGGAGAGTATACGATTCGCGGTACAATCGCTGCATTTTCTTTTGATAATTTAGGAGGCAATATGCTGTATGCTTTACCTGAATCCTTTGCGAATACATATTATTGTAGGATTTGCACGGTTTCTTACGAAGAAGCAAAAACTATGATTCTAGAAAAGGAGGAGTATTTACGGTCCGAAATTTTAAATCCGCGTTGTGAAGACGATGAATTTTCGCGCACTATTGGTTGCAAATTTGAAACAATTTTTTCTGAATTATCTCATTTTGATCCGTTTGACTGCCTTTCAGTTGACATAGCACATGACCTTCCAGAAGGCTTACTTCAATTAGAAATTAAATTATTTCTTAAGGAAGCGGTTGAAGTTCGAAAGCTGATAAAACTTATCGATTTAAATGAACGTATCAAGATATTTAGTTATGGTATTAACGAGTCAAAAAATAAGCCCAGTCCTATAGTTTTGAAAAAACCTGGCAACCGGGTAGGTCAACGAGCCGCTCAAACTCGATGCTTGAGCATGTATTTACCTCTTATATTAAGTGATGTCTTAAAAAAAGCATATGAAAAATCTGATCCTATTATTGAAAAATGGGAGGTTCTTAAGCTCTTGTTACAAATCATGCAGATTGTATACTCTCCAGTTTTTTCTAATGCTATGGTTGCTGAGTTAAAGGAATTGATTGTCCAGCATCATTCTTTATTTTTACAATTTTTGGGAGACCACTTATTGCCAAAACATCACTTTTTATTGCACTATCCATTAGTAATAAAGTTAATGGGACCACTGATATTTTTATGGACATTGCGCTTCGAAGGAAAGCATAACTATTTTAAAGATTTAGTGCATAAAATGAAAAATTTTATAAATGTTATTAAGACGTTAGCTGAACAACACCAAAAATTTATTTATGAACAGTGGATTAATTGTGATAAAAGAGTGGAACAAGTAGTTTCCGCAAAATCCGGGAAATATGTTTTATTCGAAGAATGTCTTACAAAGAATGGGATTGATAACATTTTTTTAAAAGATTTTCCTAAATTTGTTTATAAAGTTGAAAAACTGTCTTTCCGTGTTGAGTACAGGGTAGGATTTTTTATAACAAAAAAAGAAAATTCTTCGGAGTTTCCATTCTTTTTTAAAATTGTAGAGTTATTCGTAGCTTGTAATTCTGCCTACGCGATTTGTAAACCGTACGAAACAGTAGAATATGACGACATATATTTAGGATACAAAATCGAACCAAAGGAAGGGTCAACAAAAATAATATGTGACTTAAAAACTTTAACACACGTTATCTCTTACGAATTACATCAACCTTACCACACAACTGATTATTACATTATTCCCAAATACAGAATTAACTAGATATAGAATTAAAAAAATATGAATGTATTTCTTGTATAATCATTCTTCAAATTTTGTTTTTAATGAACTCATACTAACGTCACTGATTTTAGTTATTCTGTATAAAATGAAACCATTGGATACGTTAATAAGTACATATCAAAATAATTTTTCTTTAAATTTATTATAAATATGACTCTTTGTATTGATTATATAAGACATCCAACCATATTATGCATAATTACTTTAACTAAATAAAATTTATTAAAATGTCAAAAAAGTTTTGTTCTGTAACAATATGTTCCATTTATTTGTATGTATAAATAATATTATATATATTTAATATAAATATTTAAATATTGTTTTTTCTTTAAGTTACGAGTTTTTACACTCTACCTTTCCGATATAGATCAATTTAAAAGTTTTTAAGATTTGCTACACGCACATTTTTTAAATAAATAATATGAATAATCAGTTACTTGGCTATTTTTCAGATAAATATTCATTTTAATAAATTAAACGATAATAAAACCAATAATTTCTGTATTTAAAGCAAATACTATTTAATTGAATAGTACTAGTTTTATATATATATATATAATATAAATAATAATAAATACTAGTATTTATTTGACAAAAAAATATTTATTTGATAATTACATATAATAATCGTGAATATCTTTCGTTCATTCTGTCCACACCTGAAGTTGGTATTTGTTATAGGTCTTTTGTTTTTTTTAAATATTGTTGTTTGACATTATTTTGTGTTTGAAAAAATTTATTTTTAAGGTACCAGGGGCCAATGAATACCTATTAAATATTAATTATAAAAACACAGGCCTTGGATCAACTTAAAGACACAAAAAAAGTCGTTTTAGTCGATTTATATTCCGAAAAAAAGTAGATTTTTTTTATTTTAACAAAAATATTTTACAGATTTTTAAATAAAAAATTTTTTTTTTAAATAATACTTTTCGAAGGGTTAAAGTTGAAATTTTTAGAAATAATTAAATTTCAAAAGATATTGTTAATTTTCAGACAATAATTAAATTTTACAGAACTAAAAATAATTTATCAAACAATTTTTGGAAAACATTTTTTAAATTTAATTGAATTTTCAAAGATTTAAAATTGAGATTTTTGAAATTAATTGAACTTCCAGTAATTTTTAATTATAATAATTCATTTTTAGTTGATTTTTGATTGAAAATTTTGATAATTAATTTTGAATTGAAATTTTAGAAAATAATTAAATTTCATTTGATTTTAAATTTAGAAAATAATTCAATTTTACTTGATTTTGAATTGAAAATTTTGAAAATAATTGAATTTTCATTGATTTTGAATTGAAATTTTGGGAAATAATTGAATTTTAATTGAAATTTTCGATAATAATTTAATTTAAGTTCATTTTTAACTGAAAATTTGGATAATTAATTTTGAATAGAAAATTTAAAAAATAATTGAATTTTATTTTATTTTAAATTGAAAACTTGGTAAATAATTGAATTTTAAATTGAAAATTTTGAAAATAATTTAATTTTAGTTGATTGAAAATTTTGATAATAATTAATTTTAGTTGATTGTTCATTGAAAATTTTTATAATAATTAATTTTGACTCGAAATTTTGGAAAATAATTGAATTTTAATTGAAATTTTGGATAATAATTTAATTTAAGTTGATGTTGAATTAAAATTTCGGGTAATAATTGAATTTTATTTGATTTTAAATTGAAAATTTGGAAAATAATTGAATTTTAAAAGATTTTGAATTGAAATTTTGGGAAAAATTGAATTTTCTTTGATTTTGAATTTGAAATTTTGTATAATAATTGAATTTTATTTAATTTTAAATTGAAAACTTGGTAAATAATTGAATTTTAAATTTAAAATTTGGAAAATAATTCAATATTATATATAATTTAATAACATATAATAATAATTTTCATTATAATCATTTAATATGAAATAATATTCTAATAAATTTAAATTATTATTGATAATATTAATCTTTAATTTCTTTATAACAAACAATTAAATACTAAATTTGGCGCGCTTGCGCGCGTTTAATATTGCTAGTAATTAAATAACATTATTTGAATAATAATTATAATCGTTTTATTCTATTGGCCTAATATAAAACGCTTGAGACGAATTAAAAAACCGATCAGAAAATTTGCTAATGGACTGATTTATTCAGGAAAATAGGGAAATCGTGTAGCCGTCAGGTATATTCGTCTAAGGGATATTT